TCTCTCCACAACAACAGTAAAATCTGTGGTCTTTTTTATATGTTTTTGGGGACTGTATTCCCTTCTGCCTATCCGCCATTAGGAGCCTTTGTTAACCGCGGTGCCCTTTCTTACTGGGACGGCTGGCTTCTGTCTAGGTCAGTGCAGTCAATGGGAAGGGGTTCGCAACTCCTTTTTGGCCCGCATTTAAAAAAGGCACTTGCCAGAAAGTTGAAAGTCAGTAAACACGTTACATTGGACGGTACCTACAGTAAGATCCATCATCATTGAGGAGATGTAGGTGTAAGGCAAAAACACTGGCCAGCAGTTAATGGGTTCAAAATCCATCAAATACAAATGTTAAAGACAGGGCTTAAGCGTGAGCAAACTAAATCTTCCATCAATGCGCACGAAATCCTACATCTGCCCCTAGAGGTACGTCTAAAACTAAGGATTGTTTTGTCGCTCGCACTGTGACTGTGGGACATTCATGGCTCAACTAGTGACCTGCACAGCACGAGGCTCATTGCAAAGATGCGCTTAAATTTCACATTTTTCACAGTTGTCCAAAGTTCGGTGTTTGCGCTGCATTTCACCAGCGCAGCACAGCAGCATTGTGAGACAAACAGTTCAGTAATAATAGTTTTGATGTGCTAGGGGACACATACCTAAATTACCATGGGTTTGAAATGCATTTCCATTTCGCCAGACTTAGTACAAAACTCAAATTCACCTTTATCTTAAAGAACGAGTACTAGGACCAAGTTTTCAGTTATGGAGGTCGAGCCCAATATTGCCGAGCCCCAGACCAGTATTGCGGTGGCCCAGCCCAACATTGGAGAGGGGGGGGGGGGGGGGGCAGGCCAACATGAAGGGGGAGGCGGACCAGCACGAGGGGGGGATCACGGCCCCACCAAAATTACAAAGTTCGACCTCTGGGCGGTGATATGAACCTGTGTCAAAATCATCAGTGGGGAGCACCAAATTGAACTGAAGTTGAATTCACGTGTTTTGAGTCGTTAATTGACCATTGCAGTCGGTCATCAAAAACGCCTTGGTGGTTTTTAGCCAGCCCTTTTTAATGTTTTTACCATACCACATATTTATGTTGCGACGTATATCCTCGTCATCACAGCACATACTGAATATGTTACCAGACGGTGTCACACACTATGCGCCGCTTGGTTCCAACATTCCGAACGTCGCGCAGCCTCGCCACCGTCACCCCCGACGCCAGCACCACCTATCGGCCGTGTTAGTACCTGCCAGGCCGCACGGTGTCGGTCGGGTCGCGAGTGTCGCGGGTAACCCACAATGCGAGGTCCCCGCCTCGGCCTGCGTTGGTCTGGTGAGCTTTCTGCGTGAACGCGGCACTCTGGTCTGACTCGATGTGCTCCGGTCGGTTTTGAACTCCTGGCACCCCAGATTGAAGCTCTTCCCGGAGGGGAGCGCGGATCGCAGGGACGTGCTGCCTCAGAACCATCTGCATAGCCTATGGAGCCTTTTGCTATTAAGCCACCTCCCGTCCCCGCCCTCAGTCATCGAATAATGCGACATAGCATTTCTGTGGGATTCCAGTGTCTGCACTTATTTGACGGCGACATTACTGAGCCAAGGAGAAGTACCCGGACAATCGATCCTCAAACGTCTAGCGATCAGAGATCAGAAACATGAGAAGGCCAATGAATAACGAACCGCACAAGAGTAACCCGAGAAAGATACGTCCAGGGCACGATTATGGCGGCTTCAGGACAAAGGGCCGTATGAAAAAGGCAACTGGAGGAAACTAAAATAAGAATTCGGAATTCAAGTAAAACGGCTACACGTCACCGGAGACCAAGGACCTTAAGGAAAAAGTCCGAGGACAGCAATTCAAGATGAATGAATGCAAGCTAAGCTTCAAAAGTTTTTTAGTCAGAGTGGATAAAATTCAATGAACCAAAACTAAAGGAGACTAAGGGAGACAGTTGTGAGAAGAGAGTTGAAAGGCCAAATAGAAAACGTCGAAGAAAAGGCGAACAGAGGTGCATCTAAAGCGGAAAGAGACAAGCAGGGAAAGAGACAGAAAGAACAAAAACTGCAACCCAAGATTATCCTTAAAAATTGGAACGCATGTCTGATAAACATCCAGACGGGACCAGATCAGGCCGAATTAAACCGAACCGAACCAAATCGGACCGGACTGGACACGGACCCATGCCAGTGTAGGGAAGAATAGAGGCATCTATGATTATGACAGATCCTGACCGGAACAGCCTGGACCAAACCTTAGTGGATCAGACCGAAGGGAAACAACCAGGACAGGGAAGTGCAGAGAGACGAGGTACACTGCCAATCGGAACAGGACAGGGCAGCACATGGACAGACATAAGCTGACCGAAAACAGAGACGGACAGGATAGGTCAGGACGAGGCAGAACCAGACGGGCTGGACTTGATATAGCAGGGCAGGACAAGATAGGACAGAACAGAACAACAGGACACTCCAACACAGGACAGGGCAGGCAGGACAGGATTTAACTTGACGGGACATGGCTGACCTGCACAAGACTGGACTAGACTGGACTGAACTGAACTGGACTGGACTGGCCCTGACCAGACCGATCTAGATGAGCCTGCAGCAGGCCGGACCGGACCGGGCTGGAGACATACAGACTGCGCCCAGACTGCGCCACACCGCAGCGAGCCGTGCCGGTGCCAAGCAGAACAAGACAGGTCGGCAACTCACAGGACGGGCCACGCCAGATAGACCAGACCGGACAACCCCAGGCCACACTGAACATAACCAGACTTAATCGGGCTATAACAGTCTCTACCAGGATGGAGACGGCCAAATCAAAGAAAGAGAAGAGCGAGCTAAAATCAGGCAGGACCAAACAGGACAGAACAAACCTTGCAAGACCGGGCAGGAAATAACAAAATCGGATTGAGCCAAATCAGTCCAGACCGGAGGCATGAAAACGACCCATATGGAGCAGGACGTTTAGCCAAGTGCTTAACCTCATCGCGATTATCCACCACTGACATGCTGTCTTGTCGTTGGTATGTTAGTGCCTTGTGTTGTCCATGGACCCAATTGACCTATGTGGGCCTTCTGCCTGTTCACTTTTATTCAAGTTGATAGTATCATCGTGTCTGTCCCGCCTTTTAATTTTTATGCTTTGTCCTGTTCGCGATCTGACTGTTTATCCCTGGACTTTGACATTATTTGCCTAGCTGCCGCTGCTTGTTTCATTTTCAAAGCAAAAATTGATCCGTTTTTTGCTCCTCTTGACTTTTACGTTTTTATTTGCATTTCTGTTGCCTTTCGATTTTTTTACCCCTTCCATTTAAAGATGTTTGCCCGGATGTAAATTCTGTTGCGTGGATCACTGCTGTAGGAACCAAGCGACACAAGGACAAGAGGACCTGTTAGTGGGCGGGCTCTCCGACCCCCAGTCACCGGAGACGCAGCTCAGAGCCCCCGTCGAGCGGGCGCCGGCCGGGAGAGCCTTGATCTCAGCATGACGTCACAGGCCGGCCGGCGTACTGTCCGACTCTGAGCCGGATGCCGCTCGGTCCGACTCCGGGCCGACGCTGACGGGCTCCAGGAAGTACCGGCGCTCTCATCGCTCGTCGATCTGGACGACCCCCGGCTGGCCCGACGCTGGGAAAACAAACCGGCTCCGGGAGCGGGAAGTCTAGCAGGCCCGCGGCGAGGGCGAGCCGCTGCCGGTGTTTTTGTGACGGCCGAGACTCCCGGCGGATGGCGTCCGACGCGCCCCGTAAATACCACTTAACGCGCTCGTTCATGTATCGCCGCGGCGGTGAAGAAGACCGACGAGGCGCTACGGAACACGACACGGCTGGGAAGATGGAACACCCATGGCGCACCGAACCAATCTCAGCCGACCGGTGTAGACGGAGATACGGTGCCGCTGCGGTAGGTGCGTACATCGGCAGCAGTTCCCAGCCATTCAAAACAACGTCACAAGGAGCTCGCTGTGTTTACTCTTCAGTATGTGAATGACATAAAACATGCTGTACGCGTGACGAGTAATGAAACACTTCTCAAACCTGCGGCATTTATCAGGACATCAGCAACACAACATGCCGAAATACGTGCACCAAGGTGTTCTTGAGGCCCCCAGGTTGACCAGCGCACCGCGTTTTGTACGGACGATTATGGCAAATGAGCAACTTCATAAATATGTCTTCATTTGGATGCAACCAGAAACAGTGGCAATCCTTGCACTGCATGCTACGCTGTTTAGTCAGTCGGCTTTTGTGACTGGCTAAACAGCCAGTTTAAAGCCGCCGCCCGTTGTAACGTAAGGCTATAATAGACGGTCCTTGAGCGCGGCCACACTTAGTCTCCGATATTGTCCACTCTCCACCTGCAGCCACCAGCATTGGCGCCGTCCAGCTCCAGCCACCGCCAATGGCACCATCCAGCCAATCCCACCGCTTATGGCCGTCCAGCTGCTGTCACTGTCCGTGGCACTGTCGGGCCCCAGCCGCCGCCAGTGACACCGTCCAGCCACAGTCACCGCCGGCGGCACCGCCCAGCCACAGCCATCGCTTGTGGCCGTCCGAACTGCTCCATCGCCTGCGGCACTGTCTAGCTCCTGCCAGTGACCAGCTGGGCCCGCTGGTGGAAGGCTGTGCCCTGGACGGGGAGGGACGGCCAACCGACCGGTCAGAGCTGCTCCCCTCCCAGGCAGCAGCGCGGTCGGAGCGCGCAGGGTGCCCCCGGCAGCCAGGCACCACGCCCCGGCATCAAACGGCACGGCTTCGATGAGAGATCGTGTCGTTGGACTTGTACGTGGTGGAGCTCGTGGCAACATTTGCTGGCAGCTTCCGTGAGCGCTTCGGAGAGTCGCAGACTGTCTTTCATACCAGAAAACCCCAATCTGATTTGTACCGGATCACAAAATCATCTCCGTCGCCGAAAGTACAGGCGAGCATTAACAGCATGCCCGTTCTCTGTCGCTTTCCGTCCTCTAGTCCCAAAGCAATCCATAGCGTCTAGACACAAAAACGTCCACCAAGTGTCACCAGTTTATTTCGGCTGCGACTGGGTTTTCCACGCTCCGGATGGGTTTTCCACCCGTCTGACATAAACATTGGGCATGAAAACAAAACACGCCTGCGGCAGCCCACACAAGCAAGGCAGCAGTCCACCACAAAAACAGCGTCGGCGCCGACAGCCGAGGCCAGACCCGTCGGCCGCCGGCTGGGCCGGGTCTGCGGAGCAGAGCGGACCGTCAGCCGCCGGCCGGGCCGGGTCTGCAACGCAGTCCGGACCGGGTCTGCAGCGCAGTCCGGACCGTCAGCCGCCGGCCGGGCCGGGGTCGGGCACGCGCCGGTACACGGCCAGCAGCTTCTCGCCGCTGTTCCGAGTCACCTTCTGGCCCTCCTCGGAGCTGTCGAACAGCTGGCTGACCACCGGGTCCTCGCTCTGAAACGGCGGGCAGGCGGCCGCCTGGCGTTACCTGGTGTGGACCGGGGGTTGGGGAGGGGAAGGGGAGGGAAAGGCGAGCTCCAGCTGCGATTAAGGCGGGCCGGTGACAGCATCCATACCGACCGTCTGACGTGTCACCGCCCGCCCTGAAGCGGACGACAAACACGGCGACATCAGCCCACACGTCCTCTTACCACCCACGTCTGTGCAGATGTCAACAATGCACGCCCCGCGTACAGAAGTGAGCAGATATGCCAATGAGTTGTCATTCGCACAACCGCTGACAAAGACAACATACGGCTTGTTTGGGTGACTTCCACACAGTGCTGTTTTTATCACACGCAAGTGTAGCAGATGTCTTCGCGGGAATCCCCCATGGAACATAACAGCCGAACAAACACGGCCCTGCCCTATCAACGGCAGGCGTTTTTTCCTGCGCAGCTTTACTAACGGCGATCCGTTTATGCTCAGTTTTGCGCCCCCCCCCCCCCCCCCTAACGCAGACCCGCACACCCGGAGGAGCGGGAGCGGTCACAGGACTCGGCGCCGGCGAAAGCCCCACGGTCGTCTCATTTCGGCACATATTTGATTCCAAGTGTGCATTCAGATTATGTGGGTGTCACCTTACACATACTCTACTAACAATATACAATTAAATCAAATAAATATGCACGCATCCTTGACCCTGTAGACCCACAATACCAGGGATGAAAGCCATCGCGCTCCTCGCGGAGTAGGCTAGCCAGCCTACGGTGTTCTGTACTATTTATGGGCCGCCGCGAGTCAGTTACATGCAAACACGTAACAAATTGCGTCCAAAATATCACAGTAATTCTGAAGTCCTGAGGCTTCGGAATATTTCAAAACAGAGAAGAGAGGAGAACACCTCTTTGGCAGGTAACGCTTACCGCCACAAAGGTACCGTAAGCCGAGGCTACTTAGCAGTGTATTTACGTTTGCAGTGTTACGTAAGCAGTGTATTTACGTTTGCCCGTGTGAGCCCATCCTATAAGGTCATTTAAAAAACTGGATGGCCTGTGAAGAGACGGGACAAGACTGGGGTTCGACCGTGACAGGTGACATGACCTGATCCGAGAAGGAGTGACAGACAGCGCAGCTTGAGGTCAGCGAACGACAGATGACGTGACCGACATACCACTGCACGGCTCGACGGCTGTCATGCCACTAACCAGCTCCTGTTCTGAGAGGCGCTGGAACAGCGGGTGGTCCTCCAGGTGCCGGACCATCCAGTCGTGAAGGTCCCGGACGTCGGTCAGCGTGTAGAGGATCCCCTGCAGTGCGGACAGCCACCGCGTCTACGCACGTCCCCCGCCAGTGACACTCACCCCCACGCGCACACACGCCGGCACGCACTGAGCCGGCGCCAGCGCGGTCACCGCGACGACACACAACAAACGTACTGCTCTCGTCCTGAGCATATGTGCGCGCCCACAGCCGTATTTTGGATACCTTTCGAAATACGTTAAACTTCTGAAGAAATCTATACGAGAGGTACGACCTAAACACATCCAATATGCTGATGAATGGGATGCCACCCTGATGCCGGTCTGCATGCGATGCGCAGCGAACAACGACAATCATCTTGAACGAGTGACTCACGCTCCGCAGCTCAAGGGCACTGAAAGCGGGCATGCTTCATACATCACGCGAAGCACACGAGACGGTAAGCCCCGCACGGAAGGTCAGGGTCGTTGCCGGCCGGACTAAGACAGCACAGCTCACCCCTTCACGCAGGGCGTAGGCGTACTCGCTGAGCAGGGTCGGGCTGATGATGCGCCACTTGTGCTTGGCCTTCTTGAAATGCGGGTCGGGAAACAGGAAGAACATCTTCGTCAGCTGCCGGGGGAGAAGAACGTTGCAGACTGAAGAGAAATAAGCTAGGCAACCAACACACAGCGCAGAGATGAATACGGCATCCTGTAACTGAAGGGGACAGCCCCCTCCCCACCATTACGGAGAGTGCGGGCGCCCGACGCGTGGAATGGGGAGGGAGGGGAGGGGGGAGGGCCGTTGCCCATAGAGTGGAAACAGCCTCCAGGCTCCCACACAGACAATGAACGCGACCTCAACGTTCGACATAAATACCCGTAACCAAACATCAACTACGCTCAGCAGAAATCGAACGCAAGTGGCATCACAGAAGCCGGGTCAGGCTCTGGCGCAGGGATCGATACCAGATGTCAGAGAACTCAGACCAAGTTGGGGCACGGGGTCCGATGCGAGGTGCCACAGACCTCGGGCCGAGTTGGGGCAAGGGGCAGTGTATCAGATAACTCGGGCCAAGACGGGACACATATTCCTATGCGGGATGTGACATCGATCCAGCGAACCCACACAACTCACAACCCGGGGCGCCGGTCGGGCTGGGCCAGCCGTGACCTCCCAAGGTCAGGCAGGCCGTGCTGGTTCTTCACGTCACTGATCCTTCCAAAACCCGCTCATTTGCAATTCCCTGACAGGCCGCGATTTTATCTCAATTTCTACACGTCTGGTACACAAACGCCCGACGTTTGATTTCTGCCAATTTTCTTATGTATGCTTCAATCTCTCTCACAATCTCAATCTCAATCACAATCTCCAAATGTGAAACATTTCCTTCAACACCCACAATCAACATCTCACCTGGCCTTTTCGGAAGAAATTGGGCAGATGCTTCATGGCGTTGGAGCGGAGGCAGGCCACGTTCTGATACTGGCCCGGGTTCTGCACGCGGAGAGCCTTGATGCGATCCGTGACGTAATCGGCCACCTTCACCCGAATCTCCATACCCAGCATCAGCACGTCGGGAAACATGGTCGACAAGCGAACTGCGAACACACGCACAAACCAAAGCGGCTGACAACAGCCACAGTGGCAAGCGTTCGACCGCTACCGACTGCCGTATAGGTGCAGGAGTGCGCGTGACTTTGGCCGGTTCAGTGAAGTGCTCGGCATCCACCTGCATCTTTTTTGAACGTATCGACACCCCACCGTATCACGTTTGTCTATTACAAAATCGTATCTTGAAATTTGCATTATAAACCCCCGGATGAAGCGGCTTCCAAAAGATCAAAGATCCAAATGCTGACTGCATGACAGAAATGTCGAACAATGACGCCCAGCCATGCTACACATGGGCCAAAACGTCCACGATCTCGGCGACCCATTCGGGATCAGAGTGAAACGAGACCAACGCCGTCTCATGCTGGAAACAACGGACCGTCGCGCAGCCAAAAACAGGGCTCGCCGTGTGGAGCCGGTCACGTAACAGCCAGCCGTGGCTCCGCCGATGTTAGTGCGCTTTTAATGAGTGATGCTCGTTCTCAGCCGGCGACTGAGAAGATCACGTGAAACAAAATTGGGTGGTATAAACAGACGAACCGGCGGCGGAAAAGATCACGTGAAACAAAACTGGGTGGTGTAAACAGACGCAACAGCTACAAAACGCGGAGGCGGTCCAATACCGTCTGGGCCCATGGAGCGTTGTCGCTGGGTGCTTCATGATACATTCAGCTGCTGAGGCTATGGAAACCTCGTTACGCGACCACGGAATGCTCAACGTCACCTAAAATGACCAGGACTTGAAAAATGCCAAGCTCAAGTCTAAAGCCCGCAGGATTGAGCCATAACAACCAGACGGGCGTAAGATCCAACTCGCGGTTACCAGTAACCAATACAAAAGTACTCGCGTTTCGCAACACTTCGGACACGGCCACCGTTAGCATAAATCGTTCCAAACTCTTTGACTTCGTCGACTTCGATGGCCGGGTCTTGACAATAGCCAGCTAGTAATTATCACTTGACATTTGTGAATAAGCGCGCTAACGTTACACATCAGACACAATGGAAGCACAATCATCGTCATGGCGTCGCATGGCCGTCAAATGACCGGCAATCAACGTTGAGCAAGGAGCGATGACGTAATCAAACAGCAACGCATTGAGGAGCATGTTTACTAGAGACATTGTGTTGCCTACAGTTACGTGTACGGAATTCTATGGGCGCCACGTCTCTTCTGCATCTTTTTCGGTACAATTGACATCATGATAATGTCCACGTCTGCTATGTCCTTGCTCGTCCCAGGTCGTACAATACATGGTTTAAGCTCCACGTCGTACAAGTGGTTCAAACATTGGGAAGAAGATGAGCTACCTTAAGCATGGAAGTATCCGCCCCCGGTGGTCTGAGGTTCTTACAGGATAGAAACAGCACGTTCAGCTCCGAATATCATTCAACGTGATCTTTGTAGATCACTCACCGTATGCCAGCCGCAATAATACCCGGGTGCGCCACGTTCTATGTCACACAATGTTGGTCACTTAAAGTCAAGCTCCAAATGATGTCCCTGAGAATCGTTTCCACATTGGTCGACGCATTTGGCTGATCACCATCATATCCTCGCACGTCTGCCAGTTTTAATAGGCTCTCTGAAACGTCATACGAAGCGCAGTATTTGAACTAGGGTCTCGTGATCCAAAATATGCCGCCCTTTCGACTCCGATCCTTACACCCTCCCCCGGGCTACAGTCATGGTGGCGATGGTCACCAGTCAGCAGCCTCGACTGATCTTGCTTGATCACCTGGAAGAACGTTAGACCCATAGAAAATACATTACCATGGAAAAGAACAAAACCCTGACTTACGCGAACAAGAATACGGCTTAACTAGGTTGGTCCTGGCCTGCCTGCTCTGACTTGACAGGTCAAAATTAAGGTATCTCTTAAAACAACTTCAGTTAAACCTCTTCATGCCATTACCCAGTGCCCCTTGCTTACTATGCACAGCTGGCATAAAATGACAAAACATAAAATGGACTGTTGATGGCAACCAGATATTAAAGCTCATAGTTGCTCAAGTCCTTTTGATTTTGGGTTGTTCGCCTTTTAGATAACACCATTTCACATGAAGAGAAGCTCTGTCATGCAACTACATCAATGGGGGCCAAAGGTGTGTCCAGTATTACCATCTTACCCAAAAGACCACCATAGCCGCATCCGACATCGGCAAAGCGGACCAGGTGCAGCTGCTCTTCTGCATTCTTTTCAAAGAATTGCGGGTAGTATGGCGACCAGTCCATGGCATCAGGAGCTACAGGACTGGAAGACAGCAGCATAACAACACAGCTTGTAAAGTTTAGGCAGGTCCTCCACAAACATGCAGGAAGTGTTAAAATGTATGGTTAAGACAAACAACAAAACCAGCCATGGTCAATAACATATTTTTGTTGACATTCCGTAATGAGAGCTTCCACCACAGGACAATGGGAAATGCAACAAGGAAAGCATCTTGATCCAAATTTAACTATAGATTGGATATCCACAGTGAAAGAGCTTGAAAGAGGTGAAAAGCAAAAGTAAATCCTGACAAATTGCTGGCAACACAAAATGTTGTTGACTGACACCCTGTTAGCATGCATGACAATATCATCCACTCCCTATTTCCTACAGATACTGACAATACCACTGGAACACATTAGAAAGGAAGAACCTGACAGACAATGCATGATGTAAATGGCAATAGGCCTCACACAAATACAAAAGTGCTAATAGGGATTTGAGATCACTGAAACTAATCCAATTATAAACATAGTTGATCTGATTATGCCATAGCACAGTGGTTGTGCAAGGCTAAACAAAACATGCAGGACAATAAACTGTGAAATCCTGTGGAGCTTATGCCAAAAAATTTAAATGAAGCAAATGGGATAGCCTGGCTGTTAACAAGTGAAGGCTTCTAAAGGCAAAACAATCATATACATTTTAGCAGTGTGCTTAGAATCTTTGGGTTCTGTATCATTTCCAGATTGTATAGCACTGGCTTATTAGTGATCATGTCATCATATGCTACAGCCCACTGAAAGCTCGGTGAATATTGCTGAAACATCAAATTATGATAATATTCACACTTTTGCACATTTATAACCATACTTACTATTCAAAACAATGGTCCGCAATTGGGTTGGAATGAGCTCTTTGCCTATAAAATCTCTTCTGTGGTAAAGCCGCCATTTCTGAAAAGGATCAACTGCTTGTCATTTCAAGTGCTGCTTCACAACAAGTACAGACCCTCAAGATTGAGAAAACCTGCTGTGTGAACATAGGGCATGCAGTAATCCGCAGGGGAGCAATTGAGTTCCTGTCTTTGTCGGTGATCTTCAACAATCCGAATCATTACAGTAGCTCCACAATGCCCAAATGGCTACATGGCTAGGCTACAAATGACATGCTTAATTTTTGCATTTCAATTTTATACACAGATGGACAAAACAAAGTTAAGCAACACTGCGGGCTTCTTGGAACACGAGTGTTGTTTCGACCTGGTTGTTTGCTTTTCAATGAAAGTAGACAGGTATGAGCACCTATCCTCCTGCAGATATTGTACACAATTCTGGTAAGCTTGCACCTATCTCTTTGAATAACAATTATATCTAGCATAAGTGAAATATATACATCATTCAAGGGCCTTGTAAATAATTAATTCCCTCGTGCTTCAAGTCTCTATGCCTAAAAGCACCAGATCTTCCCATAGCAACTAGACCACGAATGGAATGCCAGCAGCACCTTACTATAGCTCACACACACTGGGCCTGCTCCTGTTACTTCTCTAGCCAGCTCACAGCTCCTTCAAACTAAGCTGACTGTTCCTGAGTCTCTTCCAACCTCCTCCAAGCTCCTCAAAGCTTACCTCAAACCTACCCCAAAAGGAAAGGTGGGTGTTCTGATGAGCTTCAAGGAGACTACAGTAGACAGTATTAGTGCAAACTACACACACACTTTTTGACCCCATTAGTTCTCACTTAGCAAAAACAGAGGGCAGGTGTGTAAACTCAAGAAGGTAGATAAATTTGCAAGTTGTTTATATAGGTAACTTATGCACATACTTTTTATACATAATACACCTCTACAATATTGAATATCTCCCTTTCAGTGAAATCCCTTTGAAGTTAATTGCTTTCCATCTGCCAAAACTGTTTGGTTATGTTTACACAATACAACTGATAACTCTTCCATTGTGGCAGCAGATTTTGGCATTCTTCCAGCTGCCTCCAAACTCATTTCATTTGTTATGAGAGGAGCAAAAGAAACAGAAACATTATCAGCATACAAACCATAATGTACAACATACTGAAACAATGCACAAGTTCATTTAAAGCACAAGCCTTCCATAGGCAGAATCCGAGGTACCCAAGCAGTCTTACTTAGAACACAGAACAAAAAATATCTGATCTAAACAAAACATAAAATAGCTAGCAGTCCACCCACACACAGTACACGCTCAAAGAACGGTCAACAACGGAGCGCTCTACACTGCCGGTCAACATGGGCAAATCGGACCAAAATTATTAAAATGGCTGGGAAACTTCAGTTCATGGAGAAGTTGCACACAACTAGATGTTGTGTGTGATACTGGTCAATACTTACCCAATGAAATGACTTCACCAGATCTATCCCCACCGCCACACCGCGCACCGAAACCCATGTAGATTGCCCTGTTAGCGTTGTTGTCAGCACGATACCACCATGCACCTCTCATGTAGCTAATGCGTCGTAAAGGACACCATTTCCCGATCCCGTTCAAGTTCCCGTAAAATGTCTTAAAAGGGTAATTTTGGGACTGACTTGGAATTAAGATGATAATGTGGTAAAATCACAACAATTGTGATTTCATTGAAAAAATTGAGACAAAGCAAAAACATTCAAAAAGTTCCTTTTAGGTCAATGACTCATAACCACGTAGATGAACTCCGTGAATAAACTGACCTTGAACGAATGGCCCACAGGGTCTCATCTCACGGTCGGTGCAGAGTCAGTGGATGATGAGGGCAGGGCTGGGGGCGGACCAGGAAGTGGTTACCGTTATCGCAGTGCAGGCCACCTACAGGCTATAGGGGGTGTCCAGGAAGTGAGCCGGGCAGGCAATGCCCGTTTTTGCTGGCTTCGCCAAGAGGTAACGCCTGAGCAGCCCACTCGCTCTTCGTCCTGTTCACTGGTGGTTGGCGCTCGCTCAAGACTTGTGTGGTTCTGTGTGGTGTCTAACCAGAGCAAGGAGTGCCCATGCCATTTGCACTGAGGAAGGTTTCCTACAAGTGTGCCTAATTCGGCAATAGTCATGGGACGTTTGAAGCAGTTAGTGCCTTTATTGTGCCTATGCATTGTCCTTGGAGCGACGGCGATGGACCTACACATGGCTGAATTCAGTCAGCGAAGATCCAGGTCCCTAGACCTGTTGGGCATAGAAACAAATCAATATCACAAGACTGCATCAAGAATGTCCATACTGGCAAAGTTGACCAAAAAGTATCCACAGCTTGCACAAATGTACTCAATTGGAAATTCTGTGCAAGGTCGTGATCTGGTGGTCCTGAAAATTGGAACAGATAGTGGAGAGAGAAAGTTGGAAAAACCCATGTTCAAGTATGTGGGAAACATGCATGGAAATGAAGGCCTCGGACATGAGCTGCTGCTCAACCTTGCAGCATACCTGCTTGTCAATTATGGCAAGGATGACAGAGTTACACAGATTATCAACAGCACGGAAATCCACATAATGCCAACTCTGAATCCAGATGGCTTTGAAGTTGCAAAGGTGAGGCTATTTTCTTTAGATGATTATTTAGGACAATGAAAAAGCAAACTAAGTGTTCTTGTATCTGTGTGCTACCATGTGATTTATGAGGGATGTCCATCTATCTGCAAGTTGCTGGGGGGAAGGGAATTTGGTCAGGGTGTACTTTCCTACTGACCATTAGAAAAAACCATTGTACACCATTTGTTGTGTTTAAGGAAGGACATATCATAAATAATCACAAAACAGGTAGATTCATGCTCTTACCTTCAAATTTTTTTACAACTACAATGGTGAGCTCCTGAGCGCCGCACACACACAGCAGCAGCGACACTGGCATTATTACTGTGTGCGGTCACAACATTACTGTGCATCAGGCAGCATCAAGAACCATAAAAATGTACAGGGCCAAGGTAGCAAGAATCCATGAAATTTGATCCTTGATGCCAATGGGACCATGGGTTGCAGGGGGATTGGGTGGAGAATGTAAAGCAAAATGAGAACATAGCTGCTAAATAAAAGCTCACTATATGGTACCTATATATGGCATGGAACATGAATGCCAATGGGATGCTGGGTTGAAGGGGATATAGGGTGGGGAGGTTAGGTTAGGTTAGGCTAGGTGTTAGGTTAGGTTAGGTTAGGTTAGGTTAGGTGAGGTGAGGTGAGGTGAGGTGAGTGAGGTGAGGTGAGGTGAGGTGAGGTGAGGTGAGGTGAGGTGAGGTGAGGTGAGGTGAGGTGAGGTGAGGTGAGGTGAGGTGAGGTGAGGTGAGGTGAGGTTAGGTTAGGTTAGGTTAGGTTAGGTTCAGTTTGGTTTGGTAGGTTAGGTTAGGTAGGTTAGGTTAGGTTAGGTTAGGTTAGGTTAGGTTAGGTTAGGTTAGGTTAGGTTAGGTTAGGTTAGGTTAGGTTACATTAGGTTAGGTTAGGTTAGGTTAGGTTAGGTTAGGTTAGGTTAAGTTAGGTTAAGTTAGATTAGGTTAGGTTAGGTTAGGTTAGGTTAGTAGGTTAGGTTAGGTTAGGATATGTTCTGGACAATTCTGGCCTGTGTGTTTCATAAACGTACTTAAACGCGATAAGAAACGATTTTCATTGCATTATTATTGTTACCTTGTTCCCGTACATTTTTGATGGTTCTTGATAAGCCGAAATATTGTAATTACGCAACAACGCAGAAATGACGCTGGGGAGTCGAGGCGGTGCGGTGCCTTGCGTGCGGCGCTCGGGAGCTCGCTATCGTATTTATTAAAATTTGAAGGTAGGAGCATGATTCTACCTGTTTTGAGATCATTTACGATATGTTCCGCCTTAAACACGACGAATGGTGTACAATGATTTTTTCTAGCATTAGGCAGCAAAGTACACCTACACCGGGAATTTCATTTTGCCAGCCTCCGAAATCATTGAACTACATCTCTATCCTTGAGGTGTATTCAGAAGCCTTGGATTTCATTACCTCATTAAGAACACCATAGGCATGGCCAGATCCAAGCATTTTGACAGGCATGGTTTTGGTGTTTGTGTGTAAGATATGTTCAGTGTAAAGCAGCTTTTCAGTAACACTTAAGCAAGTAGCCATTTACACAAATTTCCTGAGTGGGAGGCCTATTTGAAGGTTATGTCTGCCTTATTTTATATACATGTTTGGTTGTTAAAAGGGGCTTCCACATTGGTATGGGGTTTTGAACTCAAATAGCTATCTTGAATACCTTTCAGTGCTGTTCAAAACCCTGCCCTTCTGAAGACCTGAGCCCCTCTAGTTTCTGAGGTGCATACCCATGAAAATGGGGAAAGGTCTGACATTCCTGAGCATGATTTCCAGACATAATGCCTTTTCTGTATATAGATATGATAGCCACCAATCAACTGTCAATCATTGTGGGCAAGGTATCATGATGTAATCAAACCATGGTACATTGAGGAGTATTTTTCCTTACAGAGTATTGTGTGGTCTAGGGCAGTCATTTCCACTTAAAAAGTACGCCAATAGCTATAAGTGAGTTTGTTTCATCATACTTTATGCCTGCTCCAATATCTTAAAATGATAGCACTTCCTTTAACAGCACATCTGAGTGCAGGTCAGTGTTATTACACTTGAACATTAAAACATAAGCAGTAAACTAAAGTGTCTTAAGACACCATCCGGCTAACATTCTTGGTGCTTTGTTTTACCACCACATGGCTGCCTCCCATGGAACAATCCCAAGTCAAAGCCCCAATCAATCTGCATATGTTAAGATGACCCCATCTTTCCATTAGGCCTTCTCTGTTCTTTCCCCAGGGAAGGATGCCATGCTCTGCCACACCCCATGATTTTGTTGTTTTACTGCTTGACCAGCATCCAATGCACTGGGCTGACATCATTGGACATGTTTATGCTATGTGATTTGGTGTAAGATGCAGTTTATGACTAATGGTTTTAACACATTCTCTTTCAGCCAGGGGACTGTGTAGGAAGTGACAAGGAAGCTGGAAGAACAAATGCAAATGGCGTGGATCTCAACAGAAATTTCCCAGATCAGGTAAGCCTTAAGGTTTTAACATGAAGCATGTTATGATTATGCATCACCACGCATACAAATATAGTGCATCTTGTGCTGAGTTGCCACATTGCTGAGCAGAAAACACATTTCATACCTGCTCTTTCAATGCTGCAGCACTACCTGAGCATGAGCACGTGAACGCAGTGGGGGCAGAGCCTGACCGAGTGTCGCCGCTGCGCCCAGTTCCGCACGAGGCCGCTGAACCGGCAGACGATCACGACCGGCCGCCAGCCGGAGACGATGGCCGCCATGACCTGGATCATCAACAAGCCGTTCGTGCTGTCTGCCAACCTGCACGGCGGCTCGCTGGTGGCCAGCTACCCGTTCGACGACACGCCCCAGCCGAACGTGCGGCAGTGCTGCGTCGAGAGCAACTCGCCCGACAAGGCGCTCTTCCGCTCGCTGGCCTCCATCTACGCCGACGGGCACGCGCTCATGCACCGCGGCGACGACTTCTGCCATACGGGCGAGCGCTTCGCCGGCGGCATCACCAACGGCGCCATGTGGTACGACGTGCCCGGTGAGTGCGCCGGGAGAGCTGCAGCTCCCCATGACGTGCCCACTGAGTGCGCCCCCTCCACGCTGACGCGGCAAGTGAGTGCGGTGGGAGGGCTGTAGCTCCCCTGTCCCTCCAAGGGCCGTGCCACACCGCCCTGTTCGCTGCCTTCCGTGTAGGGCGTGGGCGCCAGACGCGTCACGGGGGGGGGGGGGGGACCGGTAGCAGGACCAAGACGCATACAGAGAGACTCACAATGTAAAGAGCTCATACAGTAACAAGTTGTCGGGGCAAATATTCATAATGGAAAAGGTCGTTTGTAAAAGATGCCGATGGGAAGCACACTTACAAAGTTTAATTCATCTCATTTAGCAAAATATGTTATCTTCTATGAATACCATGCATGTGGATGTTGTATGCTGTGGAAGTTATCCATGATGAGACCTGCCCATTATAAATGGTAGCCGTTGCAGTCTTATTGATCGCGGATTTCCCACATTCCGTACCGTGCTGATCACAAAATTTATCAGCATATGGGTCAATTTCAAGCAGCACACGTCATGAATCTAAACCAATGAATTGAAGTCAGTGTTTCGTTCCAACGTTTTCCATTTCGGACGGGACGTTTACGGACGTTGGTCGAGCATAGGCCGTCATGCTGGAGCCCAGTCGAAAAACTCAATAAACGTGCAGTGGTATCAAGAATCAGAATTATATATGATTTGTCGAGTGTTGGGAACGATTACACTTGCAAAGCTATTAATGTGGTTGTGCTCACTGCTTGGGTTCACTGAACTGCTTTTGATGTGATCATCCTGGTTCGTGAAGAACATGCCAGTTCACTCTTTGGATGTTCGTTGAAAGTAAGAACAATGGTCAACCAAGCCATCACAACTTTCAGGTGGCATGCAGGACTTTAACTACGTGTTCAGCAACTGCATGGAGATTACCATTGAGCTGAGCTGCTGCAAGATGCCGGCCGAGTCCCATCTGGCTACGGAGTGGAAGAACAACAAGGAGGCCCTGCTGAGCTTCATGGAGGCTGTCCACATGGGTGTCAAAGGTGGCCAGCGCGCCAGGAACCGCCTCCGGGGGTGACGACGTGCTGCTGACGTGATTCATGTCATCCTCGGAGCGTGTTCGTGCCCCAACGGGTCCTGTGCTACTTCTGACACACCTGAGTTATGACGTGGGTGGGACTGAGACCCCCCCCCCCCCCCTGTCCCAGTTTAGCTCTCCAACTCTTGACAGCCCCCTCTCCCTATTGTTTACTATGTGCCAGGGGCTGAGACTGCCTGTCCCAGTGTAGCTCTCAAGCTCTGACAGCCCCCCCGCACTGTGTGCTGTTTGCCAAGGCCTGAGACCGCCTGTCCCAGTGTAGCTCTCAAGCTCTGACAGGCCCCCACTGTGTGCTGTTTGCCAAGACCTGAGACTGCCTGTCCCAGTGTAGCTCTCCAGCTCTGACAGCCCCCCCCCCCCCCTCCCCACTGTGTGCTGTTTGCCAGGGCCTGAGACTGCCTGTCCCTCCCAGTGTAGCTCTCAAGCTCTGACAGGCCCCCACTGTGTGCTGTTTGCCAAGGCCTGAGACCGCCTGTCCCAGTGTAGCTCTCAAGCTCTGACAGCCCCCCCCCCCCCCCCCCACTGTGTGCTGTTTGCCAGGGCCTGAGACCTCCCTGTCCCTCCCAGTATAGCTCTCCAACTCTTGACAGCCCCCTCTCCCTACTGTATACTATGCGCCAGGGCCTGTGACCGCCTGTCCCAGTGTAGCTCTCCGGGTCTGACAGCCCCCCACTGTGTGCTGTTTGCCAGGGCCTGAGACTGCCTGTCCCAGTGTAGCTCTCCGGGTCTGACAGCCCCCCACTGTGTGCTGTTTGCCAGGGCCTGAGACCGCCTGCCCCAGTGTAGCTCTCCAGCTCTGACAGCGCCCCCGCTATGTACCGTGCGGCGGGGCCTGAGACCCCCTGTCCCAGTACAGTTCTCCAGCTCTGACAGCGCCCCCGCTATGTACCGTGCGGCGGGGCCTGAGACCCCCTGTCCCAGTGTAGCTCTCCAGCTCTGACAGCGCCCCCGCTATGTACCGTGCGCCAGGGCTCGTTCTGGACTCCGACGGCAAGCCGATCCACGGCGCTTACGTCAGCGTCGACAGCATCGCCTACAACGTGACGACGACGGAGCGCGGCGAGTTCTGGCGACTGCTGCTGCCCGGCCAGTACTCGCTCACCGCCAGCGCCTCCGGGTGAGAGGGTGGCCGGCAGTGGCGGCGCGAACCGCGCGCCAGGCGGCGGCGTGGGCGGTACCGGATGTGCCGAGACTGTTCCCGTCGCACCGGCACTGGTGCCGCCTCTGATCCCATCTCGACCACCAGCTGATGTAACAGCTGCTGTGCCATGTGTGCGGTGGCCGCCGTCGTCCCCGCTCCCTGACGCCGCCTCTGATCCTATCTTTACCACCAGCTGATGTGACAGCCGCTGTGCCATGTGTGCTGTGTCCGCCGCCGTCACCCCACCCCTGACACCGCCTCTGATCCCATCTTTGCCTCCAGCTGATGTGACAGCCGCTGTACCATGTGTGCTGTGTCGGCCGCTGTTCCCCCCACCCCTGACGCCGCCCTCCCCACCCCCCATCCCTGACGCTGCCTCCGGCTCGGTGCGTTCCAGCCACCAGTCGATGCGGGCGTCGGTGGTGGTGACGGAGGGCCAGACGGTGCGGCACGTGTTCCGCCTGCCGCGGCAGAACGGCTCGCCCGCCTCCGTGCCTGAGCAGAGTACGTTCGACGGAGCACGCTGACGACAGCGGCCGCAGCCGGCTGCCGCTGTCGTCAGCGCTAGACGACCGCAGCGGCCGCGGCCGGCCGCCGCTGTCGTCAGCGCTAGACGACCGCCGGTGCGCCCAATTTAGCCGCGCTGAGTTGCAGCAGCGGCGTCCCGCGGTCCGGCGGTGGAAGTGACGTGAATGGAAGGCGGAATTCTCGGCGTGTTGTCCGCAAAAGGCCTGCTTTGATACGGGGCTTAGCCGCCTCGTCTCAGGCTGAGGTTTCTCTTGCGCGACCAGATAAAACCGGTTGAGCACGTGCGTGGGAACAGACGTGATGCCCCTGTGATGTCCTTCGAGAGGGAGCGTCGGGAACGGACGCCCAGTAATCCCTGGATCTGTGCCGTCTTTGTGAGGTAATACCTGAGCATGCTTAATGTCAGTTAAGTGGAAGTGCTTTCTGTATCGTCTTTAAGAGGTAATACCTTAAGCATGCTTAATGTTAGTTGAGTGGAAATGCTTTCCAACTGCATGAGGGACTCGAGGAAATGCTGGCTGTTTCCCGCTGAGTAATGCTAGTTTTTGCGATCGCAGGTGGTGTAGGGATAATGATTTCGATCTTGTTCCGGCTGTGGGTCCTTGGACCCGCAGCCTTGCCCAGGGATGGGATTATCAGTGCTCCGGACGCCCCGTCGGATCAGGGCCGGTATTTCCGCACACCTGCCTGCAGTGGCCGGGTGATCCGACCAGGACGGGCCCGGGCCGTCCGCCGACTCCCGACGCTCGGTCGCCGGCCCAGCTGCGTGCGGTGGGCACGCGGGTTTTCCAGCGGCGGCGGGCGTCGCAGAAGGCCGCTCGGTCGCCCGCCGGCCGGCCGGCCCCAGTCTCCGGGAGACCGCCGCGCGTAGGCGACAGTGTAGCGTCGACTCGGCTCTCGGCTCGCCATGACGCCGTGCGCTCTGACGCTGCGTTGTCTGACAGTGGCGGCCGCCATCGCCGGTGGCGAGTTCGTGCCGAAGGTGGGTCCGTCAGCCACGCCGCCGCCGCTGGCCACCACCACCACGGCGGCGCCGGCGCCGGACGCGCGCGCCGGCGGTGACGCCGAGCTGGCGGCGCGGCTAGCGGCCGAGTTCGTCACGCCGCCCGACTGGCAGCACCACAACTACCTGGCCATGGAGGCGTGGCTGCGCGACCTGGCCGACCGCTTCCCGGCCATCACGCGCCTGTACTCGGCCGGCCAGAGCGTGCAGGGCCGCGAGCTCTGGGTGCTCGAGATCTCCGACAACGCCGGCCGCCACGAGCCAGGTCAGCGCCTACCAGGCCGGCCGGGCCCAGCGTGGCGGCGGTAACGTGATTGGGACTCTGGCCTGCACCAGAGCTAGTTTGATCTTATGGCGGCGCGGCTTCTGCCCGTAACTCCCAGCCAGCGTCCGGAAATCAGCAGTGTTATGCAGTGCCCATGCCTGATGTAAAACAGATTGGATGGTTGTTTTGCAATGTTTGCATATTAGCATTCTGCAGTTGTGACCATCCGAAGGTGTTATGTTCTCAATTTTGTCATTCGGGTAGGTGGTTCTGCTCTTCGTTCTGTGATACCAGGTGCCCACGAAGCCGCACACCCTTTGCAACATGATACGCGAACTCCGAGATGGACAGAGCGGCCCACCTGTGTTCAGTTAATGCGTGTCATGTTTACACTTGGCCAGAATGGCCGTTGTCCCGTTACCATCGCACACCTGGTGTCACCGGCGCCACGCTACCCCGCTCCCTGGCCATCTCCGGAGGCACGCGCGCCGCGAGCGGGCGGGCGCGCGGCGCGGTTGCCAGCCGCTGATGGCGTCCCCTCGGCCGGTGCAGGCGAGCCCGAGTTCAAGTACGTGGGCAACATGCACGGCGACGAGACGGTGGGCCGCGAGGTGCTGCTGCTGCTCGCGCGCTGGCTCTGCGAGACCTATCCGGCCAACAACCAGACGCGCCACATCGTGGACAACATGCGCGTCCACATCATGCCGTCTATGAACCCGGACGGCTACGAGATGGCTACGGAACGTGAGTATCCCATGGCCGGATCGCGGCGGGTCGCTCAGTACGGGATCGTGTCGTCGCGCAGCCAGTGGGCCGCTGGAAATCCCCGTGAGGGACGTAATCCAAAGCTAGCGGTCAGGCACCAGGTGAACGCGGGAGTTATCTGACCTGCGCTGCGTTTTTCAATTTGTCGCGTATGTGTGGTAGAAGTTGGGCAGTACACCTCGACCGGGGCTGCCGTGGCGGCGCCGTGACGGCCCCGGTCCCTCCTGACTCCTGATTCTGACCCCTGACCCCATGACCGTCCTGACCTGATCTGATCCTCCGACCCTCCAGACCTCCTCACCTGACTGTCTAACCCTCCGGATCTCCTTGACCCTCCAACTCTACTGATCCCTTGAGCCTCCCAATCCCCGGACCCCCAGCCCTTCTGACCCCCGACCCTCCTAGCCCCTGACCCCTGACCCGGACCTTCCCGACCCCTGCGACTCCTGACCCCCTTGACCCCTTGACCGCTGACCCCCCCCCCCCCCTCGTCCGGCAGACGGGTCGTTCTCGCAGGAAGGTCGCAACAACGCCCGCAACGTGGACCTGAACCGCAACTTCCCGGACCGACTGGGCGTGTTCGCCGAGAACGGCCGCCAGGAGCCCGAGACGGAGGTGGTGATGCGCTGGAGCCGCGAGTACCCGTTCGTACTCTCGGCCAACCTGCACGGCGGCTCGGTGGTGGCCAACTACCCGTGGGATTCGGACCGCACGCGCACCACCGGCATTTACGCCGCCTGCCCCGACGACAGTGTCTTCAGGAAGCTGGCCAAGGCGTACAGCTTCGTGAGTTCGGGGTGGCGCGTGCTGAGCGCAGGAAGGGACAGGTTGTCCGGGCTGAAAACACGAATGGGATGTAGGCGCCAACAGGGTGATGCAGATGTTACTGTGCCTCAGCTTTTTATCATAGATTGGCCACGCTGTACGTTTGAACAGCGTTCAGCGATGCTGGAAGCCACCACACATTAAGCAGATACTTAATCTAGCCATTGTTAGAGCGCGAACAACCTTGAAGCTGGCTTGGGACGGACCAGCAGAATGCGCAGCTGTGACGCGGTGCGGAGGCCGAGTGGCTTATGTCCGGGTGTTTGCAGTCGCACCTGACGATGCACGAGGGGAAGGGTTGCGGCAAGATCGATCTCAACGGCTTCAAGGACGGTATCACCAACGGCAACCAGTGGTACTCGCTGACCGGCGGCATGCAGGATTGGAACTATATCAACACCAACTGCATGGAGCTGACGCTGGAAATTAGCTGCGTCAAGTACCCCTTCGCCAAGGAGCTGCCGCGCTACTGGAACGAGAACAAGAAAGCTCTGCTCTTCTTCATAGAACAGGTCAGCCGCACTTTTCGCGAGCGCTGTTTTGAAGGCACTTGTGTCGCTTGTACGTTGGTGGTGTCGGCCTGCTTGGTCGGGCTGATCCGTGGTCGAAGCGTAAGACATTGCCAGTGGGTGCCTGCGCGGTTATGTTTGGTATGTCAGGTCTTCCTGCCCAGGCGGAGGACGCTGAAGCCGACCTTGGCGACGTGGATCGTCAGGTGGGGCTGGACGCCACCGAAGATGTTGTCTGGCATCTCACACACTGCCCTTTTTTGTCAAAGCCCAGGCCCAGACCTGTGGAGCGTCTACCAGAGGTCCTCATCTGTAGTGTCCTTTACCTCAGAGCCAGGTCTGTGGGATCCGCCACCCCAGGCCCCGATCTATGGGGTTCTGTACCTCGCGGGGTGCGCCGCCCCAGGCCCTGATGTGTTGCCCCCTCGGCCCCAGTCCCTGGTCTGTTGCACCCTCCGCCCCAGGCGTGGTTTGTGGCGCCCTCCGCTCCAGGACGTGATCCGTTGCACCTTCGGCCCCAGTTCCTAATTTGTTACACCCTCCGCCCCAGGCCCTGATCTGTCACCCTCGGCCCCAGTTCCTGATCTGTTGTACCCTCGGCCCCAGGCCCTGATCTGTTTTACCCTCGGCCCCAGGCCCTGATCTGTTTTACCCTCGGCCCCAGTTCCTGATCTGTTACGCCCTCCGCCCCAGGCCGTGACCTGTTGTACCCTCGGCCCCAGGCCCTGATCTGTTTTACCCTCGGCCCCAGGCCCTGACCGGTGTGAGCGGTTTCGTGACGGACGCCAACAACAACGGTCTGTCAAACGTCACTGTATCGGTGGAAAACATCAACAAGGACGTGATAACGGCGGCCTTCGGCGACTTCTGGCGTCTGCTGGTGCCCGGCCGGCACACGCTCGTTTTCCACGCTCCCGGGTCAGTCGCCGAGCGCGCCGGTCTGCCGTGACTGTGGGGGGGGGGGGGGGGGGGGCGGGGCGGCAAGACGATCTGTCTTTGACCGGGGAGGGGGAGGGGAGGAGGCAGCAGGGACGGCTTGCGGTGACTGTGGGAGGCGGCAGGGACGGCCTGCCGTGATCGGCTCGCTGGTCGTGGTTCCGCTTCTGCAGACGCTGACTTCTTTCCCCAGTAGTGATCGGTGCTCGCCGGAGGTGCCGGTGCTGCTCCAGGCTGGAGGCGAACGGACGCTGGCTGTGACAGCTGCTTCCTGGCGTGTTGTACTGTCCGGTGGCGTCCCTGGCCCTGGCTCTGACCGAGTGCGTCTCGACGCCAGGTACCGGGTGGAGCGGCGCGAGGTGGACGTGCCGTACCTGTGGGCGAGCCAGGTGAACGTGACCCTGACACCGGACGACTCGGAGCAGTGGGCGACGCAGCACGACCTCGGCCTGCTGGAGAACCTCATATCGGACGGCTACTGCAGCATGGTGCAGCTGAAGAAACAGCTGGCCGAGATGGAGAACCGCTACCCGCAGTCGCACGAGGTCATCGTCAACACCACTCCGTGGAGCTCCGTCATGCCGGCCGTCAAGATCGTGGCCGAGGTGAGACGCTGGGCGCGGCGGCACCGGAGCGGCTCGCTCGGTCACCGGCGCCGGGCCGTGTGCGGTCAGTCCGGCGATCAGGCCAGATGTCCGGCGGCAGAAGGAGTTAAGGGAGTGTGGTTACCGGGACGCGCTCTGGTTTGATGCGCTGTTGTGAGCCGCAGTTTATCGGAAGCCTGCCCTACCTAGCCCTGTGTATGGACGGGGTTTGATAGTCTCCGTTCGATGCGTATTTAACCCCGATCTGCGCCATGTATTCGACCAAGCAGCCTCGATCCTTGTGATCCACCGTTCTCGTCCGTCAACTGGACCCCGTTTCCCTCCGTCGGTTTGGACTCCGTTTCTACCGTCGTCTGGACCCCGTTCCCTCCTTCGACTGGACCCCGTTCTCTCCGTCGCATGGACACGTTCTCTCCGTCCATTTAACCCGTTCTCTCCGTCGACTGGACGCCGTTCGCTCCGTCTCTGCAGGGTCCGCTGTCCGAGTCGGAGCGGGTAACAGTGGCGCTGGTGGGCGGCGTGGACGGCCGCCAGCCGGCCGGCGGCGAGCTGCTGCTGCGACTGGCCCGTCACCTGGGCGCAGCCCTGCTCAGCCCCGGCGCCGGCCAGCTGGGCGACGCGCTCCGCGGACTCGTCGTCTACATCGTGCCCCGCGTGGAAAGGGACGGCTTTGACGTCCACCAGGAGGGTGGGTAGAGCGGCGGGAGCTGATGTCCCGCTGGCGGCGGCGTGCCGGTATCTGTGTGGCACTCACTGCTGGGTGGGGCGGGCCAGCCGGTTCAGGAGAGGAGATCCGTGGACTGTGCCAGACGCCCATGTGCTGTCAGCTCAGGCGAAGTCATGGGGGTGACTTCGTGCAAGGTTTTGCGTGTCGTTGTCAGTCAGTCATCAGTGTTACCGGGAGTCATCTGACTGCTTGTGGGCGTGGCGACGGACCTCTGGGACTAGGGCGGCGCCAACGCCGCTGAGCGCCGCCGCGTTCCATGCCCGGTGACGATGTGACCCCGGGAGCCGACTCGGACGCCGAGCGCCAGCGGGTGTTGGGCGGCGCCGGCGCCGGCCCCAGCCCCGGCCCCAGCCCCAGCCCCAGTCGTGACGGCTCGCTCCACCCACCAGGCAACTGCTCGCTGTCAACTGGGGCGGCGGGCACCGGCACTGCCGCGCTGCCCAACCAGCTGCACACGATGGTGGCGCAGGTGCGCGCCGACGTGGTGCTCAGTCTGGAGGGGGGCGGCCAGTTCGTGCGGTACGCGCCCAACACGGCCGCCGACTTCGCCGGCTCGGCGCTGCAGCAGCAGACGCTGGAGACGCTGGCCGGCGCCTACATGGCCCAGCACCCGGGCATGAAGCGGGTAAGAGGGGGGCGCGCGTCTCGGCGGCGTCGCGGCCGGCCGCCGACGGGCGCTGGTGGGTGCGCTGCACGGCCGGCCCGACGGCACGCCAGATTCGGCGGCGCCGCGGCCGGATCTGCCCGCTGCCCACAGCCCGCGGCCGGCGGCTGTGGAGGCGAGACGCCGCCAGTGGCGACCGGCCGCGGCGCCACCGGGCTGCAGCGTTATCGCCAGGACATGTGCTGAGCATGTCGGTGGGTGGTATTTCCCAGGCCGGGGATTTTAAGGCAGGATCTTACGTGTCGTCCCGAGTCGATGTCCGCCGTGTGCGCGTGACTGCACAGCCGCTGCGGGAGGGGAGGGGGGGGGGGGGGGGAGGACGTGCGCATGCCGGACGGGTTGCGGTCTCCGGACCGGACGGCTGCGGTCGGAACTCCCGGCCGCCGCCCGGCCTGACGGCGCCCGCTGTCCGGCAGATGTCCTGCGGCGACCAGCAGGCCACCGGCATGATGCAGGGCCGCGACGTGCCCGGCAGGACCTTCTCCAACCTGCAGGAGCAGCTGCTGCAGGAGTTCGGCACGCTGATGGTGCGTGCTGCCCGGCGGCTCCGGCGGCGTGTCTGCCGGCCGGCCGGGGCGGCCAGTCGTTCCGCCGGACGGGGAATACCCGTGGACTGGCCAGACTTGGTCTTGCCAACGTTTCGTATCTGCCAGCTGGCTTGCCAGGCTGGTTCTGTGGCGCTGCTGCTGTCGAAACGTCTCACGTCATTGGCTGCTCGTCGTCCTGCTCACGTGAATGCTGTTTTGTTGGTCCGAAACTGTTATTCTAACAATCACGTGATAATCATAACGCTGTGTTTTGATCGTGTTGGTGTGTTTATATATATATATATATATATATATATATATATATATATATATATATATATATATATATCACAGGCTCTCGTATTCAGTTTGCGTTCGCCAGTCACGTGACGGCGGCGGAGAGGAGCCGGGCCGGCCCCACTGACGGGGACGCCGCCTGGTGCCGCAGGTCTCGGCCCACGTCAGCTGCTGCGATTTCCCGCGCCACTACCAGCTGCCGCAGCTGTGGCGCGACAACCTGGCGCCGCTGCTGGCCTTCCTGCGCGCCGCGCACCAGGGTAAAGGGGCGTTCGGGCTCGAGCCGGCGGCGGTGACGTCCGGCGCCGGCGCGACCGGCTCCTGGCTGGAGCGGCTGTACGACGGCGCCTGGCTGTGCACTGACTACGGCACCCACTATGACTGCCACCGGCCGCGGCCCGAGCTGGAGCAGGCGGCCGCGCCGCTGGCTGTCGGCTAGGTGCCGTGCCCTGTCCTCCGCGACGCCTGGCGCTCCGCTCTGTCCTGTCTCCGCCCCGCCTGCTGAACCTCTCCCCCGGGCCGAGCTGGCTTTGGCGCCGGGGTACTCACCGCAGTTGCGTTGTTGAAATCCTGGCCGGTTTGAGTGCGGAGATGCTGCGCTTTGTTGTGTGCAGGCGCCCGGTGCCGTTGGCCAGCAGAGCGCCCGTTCTCGGCACGACACTTGGGCGCCGCGTCAGTATCGAGTACGCGGAACAGTACGAGATTCGAGCCAGTACCAGAGTCGGGTCACCGATGCCTTTGCCACGTATTTTGTGCCTCACTTGGGCGCAGCCAGCTCTGGCCGGCTAGTGACCGGCTGTTGATTTTTGTGTTCACGGTGTTCACAAATGCTTCCAGTTAGGTGGCAAGGATGTAGATCGTAATGTACGTGCTACTGGAGCCCGCTGTTAGGCCTCCGTGACATGTTGCCCCCCCCCCCCCCCCCCCATTCGAGATGAATCAATCAGCAGTAAGAAGAGTGTGGGCGAAGCGGTTGTCGAGTCACCTCGGGCGGCACAAGTCGAAGGAGCAGGTCACTCCCGAGATGTGTGAAATGTGGAGCCGAACTGGGATTGTTCGGAGCTGTGGTAGCAGTAGCAGCATTATTTTTAGTTTACATCCTCGCCACCTGCCTGCCTGCATCTGAGAATCCTGGTGGTCGACGATCCGCCATTTTGTTGAGTCGGCTGGCCTCCAGCCCCACAGCGGCAACCGGTGGCCATTTTGCCAGTGCTGCTGACAGCTTTGGCGTCAGACAAGATGCCGGCGGCGCAGTCCCGTTTCGCAAACAACGCAAATCAAATCTGCTTCTGCTCACCACGTCCTCTCCCGCTGGGCCCAGCTTCGGCGCCAGCTTGAGCCTACTTATACCTACTGGAGCCTACTTAACCGCAACCTGTACACAGTGTACCTGCTTGTTACTCAGTGCATCCCGCGGGGCGCCCCTCATACTAAGCTCAATGTACTCGTGTAGATCCGCCAGCGACGTACGCTTCGATGCGCTTCCGCCATGACGGCTTTCAAAGCGTGCCAGGAGACTTATATGTGCAGAAACCGTTAGTTCCTGTCGGTTTCAGGCTCTTGGGGCTTTCCGCTTGCTGGTGGTGGCTGGATGTCGCGCGGGACGTATTGGCTCAGTGCCGTACTTGCCCCGAATTCCGAGCAGGTTCTCAGCGCAGCTCAGTGTTGCACTGCGCCTAAGTATTAAAAGCATTTGGTTTCGGCCACGTTACTCCAGTTTTGGTGGTGGGAAGCTAGTAAGAAGCTGTTGGGTTTGCATAGTTTATGGAAAGGGTTATTTTGGATCCTTCATGGACGTTGATAGTACTGGTTGGGTGGTGTAGAAATACGGCGCGGGCTTAGCCGCGTTTTACGCGCATTGTTACTGTTACGGTGAGATCTGATGACTTAGTCGAGCCGGCCACACTAGTTAAAGACACGGGTGCCTACACATCGCCACGGTCGAGCCGGGCGCGCGCTCAAACGACAACGGCCCCGGCGGCCGGCGGCGGGCGGGGCGGGATGGCGCGCCGCCTGTGTGGCCGGGCCGCGCTGCTCAGGCTGGCCGGCCTGGCTGGTCCGGGATGGTCCAGGCTGGTCCCGACTTGTCCGGGGTGGTCCCGACTGATCCGGGTTGGTCCCGGCTGGTCCGGGATGGTCCCGACCGGTCCAGGCGGGTCCCGACTGGTCTGGGGTGGTCCTGACTGGTCCGGGGTGGTCCGGGGTGGTCCCGGCTGGTCCGGGGTGGTCCCGGCTGGTCCGGGATGGTCCCGACTGGTTCGGGATGGTCCCGACTGGTCCCGCCAACCCTGTCTGACTGGCGCTGACTGGCTCCGGCGGCGGTCGGCGGGGGCGGCAGACGCAGCCTCCCAGTACGGTCGGACCGCGCTGCGCCAGGCCGCCCGCCTGCCGTACCGGGGCGCGGCGGAAGGTGGGCACGCCCGCGTCGCAGCGGCGTGACGATAGTATTATGGTCCGGGTCTTCTCTTACCAGCCGTTTACGCTCAAACCGAACCGGCCGTCTTCCGTCGCTTTTTTCCACCCGCGGTTCGGTCCATTCAATGTATGCTGCGCGAGCCGATTGCCTCCTGACCAGTACCCCTGCGAGTGCGCCCGGTCACGCGGGTCGCCATATGCGCGCCCCGGCCATTAGTGCTCCAGTGGGCGATCCCTCTGGCTGCCTTATGGCGAACGGCGGGTCAGACTCCGTACAAAAATACAGCTCAACATCGATATGGTGCCATTTGCATGTAGTTTAGAGTCCATATGGTATTTGGTACACTTAAGCATTCCATGCAGCGACCTCGTTCTACTTCGTTGTTTTTCTTGTGCTGGCTTCGTGGAGTATTCATGGGAAGGGCTGTGGATGGTGGCGCGTCGCAGTGACGCTGTTCTCGATGGTGGCGCACCACAGCGACGCAGCCCTCGATGGTGGCGCGCCACAGCGACGTAGCTCTCGATGGTGAGCTCGCCACAGCGACGCAGCTCTGGATGGTGGCGCGCCATAGCGACGTAGCTCTCGATGGTGAGCTCGCCACAGCGACGTAGCTCTCGATGATGAGCTCGCCACAGCGACGCAGCTCTCGATGGTGAGCTCGCCACAGCGACGCTGCTCTCGATGGTGGCGCGCCGCAGCAACATAGCTCTCGATGGTGGCGTGCCACAGCGACGATGCGAGTGCGCTGCAGCAACGTCCCAGCGTGGCTCTGATAAAGGCTGTCTCTGGAAGTGGCTCAGTCGCTGTCATTCTAGAGATGCGCTCGGTCATCAGCGCACGGCCACTGGCATCGGCTGCGGCAGTATGAGGTGGGAGGGACGAGGTCTTGCATTACGCATACAAGCCATGTTTTGCTCTATACTAACGCATTATAGATGCTTATTTTTCAAGTGCTGCGTTCAAGCACGGTGACCAATGGTGTGTGAAATTGGAGTGGCAATAAAATGTCCCCAAGGCCCATTGTTTTCCTGACCAGCAGAAGGAAAAGAGCATGACTCGTTAGGGAAGCGGAAACTGGCGTGTTGCAAATGAGAATCGTGTTCTGCGTGCTCTTGACAAACACGTCGAAGCAGTCTTACTCAAAAGGTGCTGATACTTGCCTGGTTAGAACGAGAACAAGGTTACAGCGTGGATAGTCTAAGCAACGTGGTCTGACGCCGTGGATAGAACACCAGTCATAAGTTATGCACACCACAATGCATGGAATGGGCACCATGGGGGCGTCCGCTCGAAGCCACGAGACGTATCCTGCAGGTGTCTGCTACTTGGCCTGGTTCCCTTCGCGACTTGAATGACCTTGAACTTGACCCACTGGCTGTGAGCGTTGCACAGACTGCGAGTGTGGCGCCGCGGCCGCACAGTGAGCCCGCTGCTGCGCGTGCGGCACCCACCACCGTTGTCTCCGGCACGTTCCTGTGTAGGGCACGGACGGGTCACGTGCTGACCGGTCCCGGCGCCGCCCGTAGGTGACCCATGTCACGTGCTGACCGGTCCTGGCGCTGCCCGTAGGCGTCCCATGTCACGTGCTGACCGGCCCCGGCGCTGCCCGTAGGTGACCCATGTCACGTGCTGACCGGTCCTGGCGCTGCCCGTAGGCGTCCCATGTCACGTGCTGACCGGTCCCGGCGCTGCCCGCAGGCATCTCGGGTCACGTGCGGGACGCTGCCGGCGCGCCGCTGCCGGCGGCGGCGGTGCACCTCTCGGGTCCGTACGGCGACGGGCTCCTGAACCTGACCGGCGCCGGGCACTTCTCGGCGTTGCTGCCAGAGGGCACATACACCATCAACGTGAGTGAGCAGGCGGTACGCGGCCGGCGCCGGACGCCGGACGCGAGATGCCCCTCCGTGTAGGCCGTCGGCGGTCCCGCCGGTGACCGTGCCGTGCCGTGGGCTCTCTCTGTCTCTTGGCGTAGGCAGGCACTGACACCGTCCCGGAAGTGGCGCCGTCCGGCCGACCTCCCCGTGGTCTCGCCTGGAGCGAGCGGCTGCTGACGCCGGCCCAGAGGTGGCGCTGTCTGGCCGGCCTCCTCGTGGTCTCGCCTGGAGCGGGCGGGCGCTGACGCCGGCCCAGAGGTGGCACCGTCTGACCTGCCTCCTCGTGGTCTCGCCTGGAGCGGGCGGCTGTTGACGCCGGCCCAGAGGTGGCACCGTCTGACCTGCCTCCTCGTGGTCTCGCCTGGAGCGGGCGGGCGCTGACGCCGGCCCGGGTGCGGCGCCGTCTGACCGGCCTTCCTGCCCGGCAGGTGACGCTGGACGGCTTCCAGGCGCGCTCGGAGCGCGTGCATGTCGGCCTGAACTCGCACGCCGACGCCAGCATGGTGCTGGAGAGCGCCAACCAGTCGGCTCATCTCAGCTACCACCCGGGCACCGGCGCCGCCGAGCTGCTGAACGGGCTGGCGCAACACTACACCGAGATCAGCCGCTACTACAGGTGGGCTGCCGCCAACGCCACCTGCCGCCCGGCTGTGCCTTGCTCCAGCAGTCACCACGGCGGCGCCATGTTGACTAATGCACGGAGCACCACATGCAGATCCGTCGCTCCGTTGCGGACCAGCCGGTCTTTGCTCGCGCACGGCGCCGCTGGTGCTCGCGTCGCTCGCGGCGCCGCTGGTGCCGCCCCGCCGCTGTCCGGCGTCTGCTGTGTGGTCGGCCGGTAGCGCGTCGCAGCCCGCTGCTGACCGCCCGTGCGCCGGCGACGTTTCAGCATCGGCGGCGCAGGCGTGGACATCCCCTGCCTGGAAATGACGGCCGGCATTCACGAGAAGGGCGGCGCGCTGACCAAGCCGAGCGTGCTGCTCCTGGGCACCGTACGCGCCCACGAGCTGGTCAGTGACAGTTGTCTCGCCCCGTGGTGGGAAGGACGAACAGGATAGCCGACGTGGAAGCAACTAAGGCTCGTGCCAAATTTGAAGTCGGAGAGTAATGAAAAGGGTGTAATTGCGGCTAATGACCTCGTCAGTTTCGTACAACAAGGACGGAACACTTGGCAGAATCTGAAATAAAATGTGAATCTAACTGCCGTGCTGTCGTGCGAGTCGTCTCGCTCTCTGTCGTGCCTGCTTTAGCCCGTCTGCTCCGTTGCTAGTGCGTCTACCGGTCGGCCCTGAGGTCCAATCTCGCGGCGTGGCCGGTAGGTGTCGCGCGAGCTGCTGCTCCAGCTGGCGACACACCTGGCCAGCCGGTACGCCTCCGACAGCGAGGTGGCCCGCCTGCTGGACCAGTATCGCGTGCTGGTGGTGCCGGCGCTCGATGGCTTGCACCGCTCCCAAACGCCCTCCTGTAACAACACGGGCCCGGAGCGTGACCTGGACACCAGCTTCAGCAGTGACGTCACCCCAGGTGCGCACCACCGTTGGCCTACGTGAGCCGGTGTCAGAGAGCCACCGTGTCAGGGAGGGCCGCCGCGTAAGGACCGTGTCAGGGAGGGCTGCTGTACTAACCGTGTCAGGACGGGCCACTGCACTGGCTGTGTGTCAGGGAGGGCCGTTGTACTGACTGTGTCAGGGAGAACCACTGTACTAACCGTGTGAAGGGGGGGGGGGGGCATTGCACTGGCTGTGTGTCAGGGAGGGTCGCTGTACTAACCGTGTCAGGGAGAACCACTGCACTGGCTGTGTGTCGGGGAGGGCCACTGTACTAAGCATGTGAAGAAAGGTCGCTGTACTGACCGTGTGAAGGAAGGCCACTGTACTGACTATGGTAGGGAGGGCCACTGCACTGGCCGTGTGTCAGGGAGGACTGCTGTACTGGCCGTGTCAGAGAGGGCCGCTGTGCTGATCGTGTTAGGGTAGGCCTTTGTACTGACCGTGTTAGGGAGGGCCACTGTACTGACCGTGTGTCAGGGAGGGCTGCTGTACTGACCGTGTCAGAGAGGGCCGCTGCACTGACTGTGTGTCAGGGAGGGCCACTGTACTGACCGTGTGTCAGGGAGGGCCGCTGTACTGACCGTGTGTCAGGGAGGGCCGCTGTACTGACCGTGTCAGAGAGGGCCGCTGCACTGACTGTGTGTCAGGGAGGGCCGCTGTAATGGCCGTGTGTCAGAGAGGGCCGCTGTACTGACCTTGTGTCAGGGAGGGCCGCTGTACTGACCGTGTGTCAGGGAGGACCGCTGTACTGACCGTGTGTCAGGGAGGGCTGCTGTACTGACCGCGCCGCCGGGTCCCCAGCGGCCGCGGCGCGGAGCGAGCTGCCGGCCGAGACCCGGGCGCTGATCAGCTGGCTGGCCGAGCGGCGGCCCGTGCGCACGCTGGTGGTGCGCGCCGGCGCCGAGGCCGTCACGTTCCCGTACACGGCGCCGCGCCGCCACCTCCAGCCGCACTCGGCGCTCGCCACTGGTGACGAACAGGTACGCCGCCTGCCGCCGCTCGCTCCCACTCCGTCGTCTCCCAGGGGTGCAGACTGGGGACTGGTGTGCTCTGGGTGTATCGGTGGCAAGTCGTGTTTTGATAGGCTCCGATAAGTTCAGTTTTTTTCCCGCGTGTTTTGCCGTTTGCCTTCATCTGGCGGTGCTTTATATACCATTTGGCAGGTTGTGTATGAACATGGCCCTGCAGTGACATATGGAAGGCCTAGAAGCCGATGCTCATTTCACTTTCGCGAGCCGTTCGCCTGCACCTCCCGCCTATGGTTTCATCCTTGACCGGCGGGCTGCCTTGTCCCGCCTCTGACAGCGTTCCGTGGTCGCGTTGCGTCCTGTCTCTGACGCCGCTCCTCGTCGACAGACGTTCCGCTCGCTGGCGGCTGAGTACGTGCGCACCGAGGTCGGCGTCGTCAACAGCACGGGCCGCTGCGACGGCAGCGCGCTGCCCGGCGGGCTCGGCCACCAGGCCGACGTCCACCCACACTCCGGCAGTCTGGTGGTAAGGCCGGCGCGCCCGCCGCTCGCCCAGCCCGGCTCCTGCCGGCCTCCGTCTGCTTAGTCCGGTGGCCGGCTGACGCCCGGAGAAGCGATGTGTCTCTTTCAATCACACTGTGGATTGTGCGTGGCTGCGTCCAGGCAGTGTGTTTTCTCAGTGCTCGGTGGGTGGGGTGGGTCGCGGCCTAGGATGCCGCGGACTCGTCGCCCCGGAACAGCACTGTGACGCCCCGTGACGCCAAGTGGCGCCCCGTGGCGCCCTGTGCCGCCCCGTGCCGTCCCAGGACAGCGCCGTGACGCCCCCTGCCGGCGTGTCGTCAGGACTACCTGTACGACGCAAACCTGACGCTGGCGCTGTCGGCGTTCGTGTCGTGCTGCCCGGGCCCGGACGTGGCCCAGCTGTCGGCGCTCTGGCGGCGCCACCGGCCAGCTATGCTGGGCTTCATCGCCCAGCAGCAGGGCATACAGGGTGAGTCACCCAGCAGTGGGGCACACACCGCAGTCACCCAGAGGGGTATACAAAGTCAGTCACCCAGCAGTTGGGCACACAGCCAGCCACTCAGCAGTGGGAGTATATGAAATCAGCCACCCTGCAGCGGGGCGTATTAGGTGAGGTACTCGGGTACATTGCAAACATAGATACGGTATGCAGGACGGTATGCAGGCCAGATGTGCACACTGATCGACTGACACTGCACCCATCCTGAGTCTGCCACTCAGCGTGTGCGGCTGTCATAGCTGACGTGGTGTCCGGCGCTCGGGTCTGCGTGACGCCGGGCTGACGGCGCCGGGGTCTGCGTGACGCCGGCCTGACCTCGCTGCGCCGCGCCGGCAGGCTTCGTGACGGACCAGCAGAACGCGCCGCTGGCGGGCGCCGTGCTCACGGTGAACGGCTCCACCTTCACCACCCGCACCGGCAGCGACGGCCAGTTCTGGCGGCCGCTCACGCCCGGTATGGCTCGCCGCCGGTGTGCGGGCGGCCACGCGCTGGCGCCCAGGCTCGTGCGGCAGACGTTCGCTGGCGCGAAAAAAGAGTGTGGTTGAATGTCGAGGAGGCGGGAAGAGGCGCGTGCTGGTGGCCTGTAGCTGCAGCTGTGGACCCCGTGGCCGTGTCTCCGCAGCTTTCTTTAGTGCTCTCAGGATGTAGTATCGTCATACGCGCGGCGTATCTGCAGGTGGATTAGTAGGCATGCGTTGTGGGTGCGGGCGACCGTTTGCCGTCGTGCCACCATGCATCGCTCACAGCCGTCTGGACCTCGCTGAGTGCCGTGTCGCTCTGCGTCTATCCGCGGCGCCGCCCTCGTCCGTCCCGTCCCTCTCCGCCGCTCCGGGCCGCTGGTCCCAGCGCGTGCCGAGCCTGCGCTGCCGCGTGACCAGGGCCGCTCCGGCAGGCGTGGTGACGGTGCATGTGTCGGCGCCGGCCCACCTGGCCGTCGAGAAGCTGGTGTCGGTGTTCGCCGGCCGGCCGACGCACCTGCAGGTGGCGCTGCAGCGGGACCGGCTGGTGGCCGGCATGCCCCGGATGGTACTCGTCATCCTGCTCGGTGAGGCGGCCGGTGGCGCGCCGGACGCGGGCGACGCCGCCGGGCGGACCGCTGCCCGCCGTCGTACCCGTGACTGGCCGCCGCGCCTGGGCGGGGCCTGCCCAGCGTGCGGCGGTCGGACGCCCCGGGTTTCCTTGCCATTCGAGTGTCCGGGCGCGGCTGTGGTGCCGCCCGCGCGCCTCGGCGGAGCGTGGTTTGAAGACGCGTCGGGTGTCACTGGCCCGATGGTGCTGTCCGGCGGCCTGTGTGCAGGTGTACCTTCTGGCTGTGTCGTCGTCTGTAGACTCATTCGGCCTGATTCTAGCAGACTGTGTGTCCGTGTCTGCAAGCTCCCTCGGTCTGATGCCTGCGGACTGTGTGTCCGTGTCTGTAGGCTCCCCCGGTCTGATACCAGCAGACTGTCCGTGCTTGCAGGCTCCTCGGTCTGATTCTAGCAGACTGTGTCTGTGTCTGCAGGATCCCTCGGTCTCATGCCTGCAGACTGTGTGTCCGTGTCTGTAGGCTCCTCGGCCCGATACCTGCGGGCTGTGTATGTCCGTGTCTGCAGGCTCCCTCGATCTGATGCGTGCAGGCTATGGTCCGTGTCTGTAGGCTCCCTCGGTCTGATACTAGCAGACTGTGTGTCCGTGTCTGCAGGCTCCCTCGGTGTGATGCCTGCAGGCTATGTGTCCGTGTCTGTAGGCTCCCTCGGTCTAATACCAGCAGACTGTGTCCTGTGTCTGCAGGCTTCCTCGATCTGATGCTAGCAGACTGTGTGTCCGTGTCTGCAGGCTCCCTCGGTCTGATACCAGCAGACCGTGTGTCCGTGTCTGCAGGCTCCTCAGCCCGATACCTGCGGGCTGTGTGTCCGTGTTTGCAGGCTCCTCGGTCTTACGATGGTGTCTTCAGCGTGTGCATGTGTAAACTCTGGCCACCTAACTGTGTTTGCCGAGTCTGGTGGCGATGGTGATCTCTAGCTACAGCTGTGGACCCTGCGACCGTGTCTCCGCAGGCTCGCTGGGCCTGGTGGCGGTGATCGTCTGCATGCTCTGCGTGACCCTGTGCACCAGCCGCTCTGGCCGCAAGCGCCGGGGACGCGACAACATGCGCAGCGTCTACGGCTTCCACCAGCTGAAGCAGCAGGCCAGCAAGACGCTGAACATGTACGAGGACGACTCGGACGAGGAAACGCTGGGCCAGTTCCATGACGTACCGCTCACCAAGACCAAAGCCGCGGGCGGTGAGTGCCGCCGGGCGAGCCGAGCTTCTCACGATGGCTGCGGCACCGGAGACGGCCTTCTCTGCTTTTGTATACGTTTTGTTGGCAGTTTTTGACGTCAAGGATCGGATGCCATGCGTTTTCTTTGAACTTTTCTGGAGCGTTTTCAAAAGGATGCGTGTAACGAAACGGGCGTTTTGCTTAACGCTTTTACTCCGCGGACCTTATACGACCAAAAGTCAACCTCATCGTGGGTGCATTCTCTTCCCGTGTCGAGCCGAACTTAGCCAGGCCTGTTTCCGTTACGCGACGCTCGGCGGCCTAAGGACAGGTCTGGCAGCCCCGTGCGTCTGGACGTGCTTCCGACGTTCCTGACATGGGTCGTCGCTCGTCTGTCCGCCAGGCGCTGCCCGGCCGCTGCGGCCGTTCCACGACCTTCCGTCGTCCGACAGTAGCTCCGAGGAGGAGGTGTTCATTCCGGGCGGACGCAGCTTGCTGCGGAGGTAGGCCGCCAACAGTCGTCACCGGCCACGCGCACGTGGAGACGCCTGCCGCGGAGGTAGGCCGCCTACAGCCGTCGCCGGCCTCTCCTCGCACGTGGAGACGCCTGCTGCGGAGGTAGGCCGCCGACAGCCGTCGCCGGCCACTTCTCGCACGTGGAGACGCGGACGCAGCCGCCCCCTCGCTCCGGCTCTCCGGCCGGATGTTCTGTGACGAACCGGCAGGCCGCCGGGGATACTGCCTGGCGGGGGTGGCCCGGACCGCGCCCCTCGTGCGGAACTGCCCCCGATGTTGACCCGAGGACGCTGCGCCGTGGCGGTACTGCCGACCGCGCCCCCCGTGCGGAGCTGCTCCCGTTGTTGACTCGTGGATTCTGCGCCGTGGCGGTACTGCCGACCGCGCCCCTCAAGCGGAGCTGATCCCGTTGTTGACTCGAGGCCGCTGCGCCGTGGCGGTTCTGCCGACCGCGCCCCTCGTGCGGAGCTGCTTCCGTTGTTGTCTCGATGACTCTGCGACAGTGTCATAGTTCCGGCTACGCCCTACGTACGGCGCTGCCGCTGGTGATGACGGCCGGGCTTGGCGCGGTGGCAGCGCAGGTATTCCCGGCTGCGTCCCTCGTGTGGAGCTGCTGCCGATGGTGGTCTGGTCCTCAGGCACTGTGCGGCGCAGGGCGGCTGGGACGCCGTCTCTTGTAGTGGGCTGTCGTCCAGCCCCATGAGCTGCGCACAATGGTAACGGGGCTGAATTGTATAATTCAAGCCGACGGCTTGGATCTTTTACGCTTTTACGCGGGGTGATGTGCACTGGAGTGGGCTGTTGTAGTCTGTCACTAGAGTCTAACTTGTGTGAAGAAATGGAGCAATACAATTTACACAAAAGTGCAGCATTTTTGTTCCTCAGGCGGTGCGTGAAGACTGCGGAGGGATCACATTCGGGGGCATTTGTATACACTGGGAGCTCGTCTGACCACAGGTGCCGTCAAATATGGGATGCACAGCAGTCGGGACGCCCTATAGACGAAGGGCGATGGAGACCAATGATTTCGCGGTCCATTCTGGGATATTGTATAACTTCGATTCCGCTCGCGCTCCGTGCTCCGCGGGGGCCGGCGTCGGTCGGAGGAGACGTGAAGGCCGGAGTGAGCTGTCAGCTTGTGCAGCCTGTAGGGATCGAAATGTGCTATGTGCTGGCTGTGAGGAGGCAAACTGCTTGCTGCCAGTACCCACCTGGGCTGAGAGTTGTGTACCAATGGGAGGTGCCCCTGGCGGCTCAAGTGTTTCTTAACTCTGGGGTCCGACGGCTGAATAAGACATGCCATGCCCGTCAGTGTGTGTGTGTGTGGGGAGGAGGGGGGGGGGGGGGCTCGTCTTGCTTTCCCGAGTTCGGGAGACTGCCCCACCTCTGAGGTCACGTGACGTCACCTCTGAGTCACGTGACGTCACATCTGAGTCACGTGACGTCACATTTGAGTCACGTGACACCACCTTTGGCTCAGCGGTGACGTCACGAGAACCCTGGCATGGCAAGTCTTAATTGAAACGCCGTTTTGGCCTCGGACGATCGACTGCGCGATACGCCTGTTGTGATGATATGAGCTTCGGCGTGGTTCGTCAGCGCCTTCCTGGCGCGTGAGTTCGTTGTCGATCGGAGCTCGCTTCCAGCAGATCCAAGCTCCGTTTCTATATCAAACAGAAATCAAACGGCTGAATACACTGGGTTGAGACTCCGTTAACATCTGTTCGGCGCGTCGAGCAGCATCTAGCATTTGAGGCCGGCATTGCTATGACATGCTGTGCAGTTTGGGAACTTTTGAACGCGACCCTGTGATTTCATGAAATTGTTCGCTCAACAAGAGCTAGTCGGTCTGTGACCATGATCGACAGCCATGCCAGAGGTGACCCCTTTGGGTTGTCCGAAAAACATGATATGTATTATGGATGGCAAATGGTTTGAATGTGCAGTGAAACGCTTGAGGGTGCGGTATAGAAATTTTTGTGAACTTGAGAGCGAGCTTGAAGATGGCGAGGGTATTTTGATGGAGTTGCTTATGTTTTAGTGGACATAGCAGGCCGGTCAAAAGCAAAATATGCAGAAAAACACCACTTAAATTGAGACAAGTCAGGGTCTCTGAAGTGCGATGTTTCCCATGCACATCGCATTGCAATAATGTCTGTTCCTGATAACTGAGCGTGAGCGTTGATAATCTCATAAAACCGCGTGTCGTCTTCTGATTTTTCAACCACCCACCACATAACAGTGCGCGCTGTCCCGTACCGACTTCCGCAGCCGTGCATTGCACCGCCGTGATGTCCCCCCCCCCCCCCGCGCGGTAATGTGGCGCTACGGTGGCATTCAGCCGTCGCCGCTGACATCTGCGCGACCAAGACGGCTGTGGCGTACGGATGCGCCGGACGGGGTGTCAGCGGCACCAGCTGACCATGGGGTCGGTGGCGGCCGGGCCCGCGGCCGTCACACTTCCGGCTCGGTGGCGGCGTCGTCGGAGCCGCGTAAATCACGGCCGCTGTGGCCCTCCCTCAGCCGGCCGGCGGCCGTGGGCCCGGCGGCCGCCGCTCGCGTGAGTGATGTGCAGCGGCCGGGCGGCGCCAGTCTGGTGCGTCCAGCGCCCGGTGCAGTACGGCGTCTCCCTCGCCGATCGTCGGTGGCGCAGCATGCGCCGCACGGCCGCGCGCCGTCCGAGCTCCGTGCTACTGGCCGCCGCGCTGCTGGCCGGCGGGCTGGTGAGCAGCGCGCGGGTGGCGTCTCCGTTCGTGGTGGCTCGGACGCTGGACCGGGTGAGCGCCGGTGGCCGCTGGAGGACGCCCACGAGCGTGCCAGAGACGACGTACGCCTACGTGCGGCGGGCGCGCCTGCAGAACGGGCCGGGGCCGCAGCCTGTGCGGCGTGCCGAGCCTGGAGCCGGGCCGGAGACAGGAATGGCCGGAGGGCCTTCCGCGGCCGGCCGGCGGCAGCTCGGCGGCGAGGCCCAGCCGGCCGGCGACCGAACCCGGGGCGGCCTGCAGGCAGTCCGCACGGACGCCAGGAGAAAAAGCAAGACGAGTCCAGCTCAGGTCATCACGGAGGAACTACCCTGGCGACCACGAGATGCCTATCAAGGCCACGCAGCCGACTCTCAGATCGTCCATACGCCGGAGTGGTATGGAGGAGTCGGTCCCCGACACACCAGATCTGGTGTTGACGAGACAGCTGATCGGACGCCCAGCGATGACTTACAAACGGCTTTATATGGCATGGAGGCCGAAGTCCCTCATCTCTTCGACAACATGGGGAGTTTTGGCCCTACGGGCGAATATCTGCCCTCTGGCTTCTCGCAGTTCATGAACATCAGCCTTAGTCTGGGGTCACATGAGGCAGTGGACTCGTCTCGCTCGCCGTCCGCGCCTTCTGGTCCAGCTGCTAGCGGCCCGACCCGGCCCTACTCAAGCTCGGAGCCAGCCGAGGCCTCTCAGGCCCCCACGAAACTCACCGGGACGCCTGTGGAGGCCAGGCCGCCTGCCACGGAGGTCTGGCTGCCTCCTGGGTTCGTTCGGCGGCCTACCGAGGAGGCCTGGCCTTCTGCTGATGGATGTCTGCCGTCTGGCCAAGGACACATGTGCCGTCTGCTGAGGATGTCTGGCCGTCCGCTGAGGAGACCATGGCCGTCTGCCGAGGATGGCCTGGGCCTTCCGCCAATGACACCTGGCCGTCTGCTGTGAACCTGCTGTCTGCCGAGTGAGGCGGTGGCAGCCTGCTGACAAGGCGCGGCCGCTTGCTGAGTGGGCGCCCGCCTGCTGACGAGGCGCGGCCGCCCGCTGAGGAGGCACAGCAGCCACGCCTGATGGGGCGCGCGGCCGGACGAGCTGGGGTCGCGGCTGGCATGTTGAGCAGGATGGGCGCCGGGCACGGCGGCGCGCCGCTGCCGCCGGAGCTCACCAACAGTCACGTGGCGCTGCTGCAGCTGCTGTCGGCGGCCGGCGCCGAGAAGGTGCTGGCCGACCTGCGGCGAGGTCAGCCTGCGGCCGCGGCCGCCGACGAGCCCTGCCACTGCGGAGAGGTGGCCTCCCCCGGCACCGTGGTCGGCCTCACCGGGCTCGCCGCCCTGCTCATCTACATGCTCTCCATCAAGACCATCAACAGCGGCGGCCGCTCGCTCAAACGTAAGTATAGGTCGGGCGGCGAGCGACCGGGCAGGGTGGCAGCCAAAGACGAATTAGTCGAGTGTTTAGATAACTCGGATCAGTTGCCGAGCCTCAAGGCGCTTAAGTCTCGAGTCAAGCCGCTGTAATTATGCGCTAATTACTCCATTGAAGAGATAGAAATAGAGTACATCCACTCATAGGGCTTTGAGAACTTGTATGGCTATATCAATACAGAGTTATGAATTTCATTGACTAGAGTTTAATCAGGGATTAAGAGCTTCTATCTGCGCAACATTTATTCCCAATGTGGGTATGTGAAAAGTGGGATTTTCCGGTACTCCTGCAAGGCCGCGATTCTTTTTGCGGTTATTTGCGGTGTTATCGATGTTCTGCAGCGTACAAGCCACGTTTTGGTCTAATAGCTGCTCAAAGACCGTTCAGTCACATTGCGGTCCGCCCAGCAGCCAACAGCCACGTTGTGCTCCGCCCAACAGCCAGCAGCTACACTGTGCTCCTCCCAACAGCCAATAGCTGTTGCCAGGTCCTTTTTTGTGCGATAGGGTTGTCACATACCGTTAATGCGTGGATGCGTGTATGTTTTTATATTTTATCACTTTTCGTTATTTTGGGCATGCTGTTTTATCTCCTAGACCGATGACACGTAGCAGCCAAGAATGTATGTGGAGCGTCAGATGATGTCAAATATAACTACATTTTGCCCCGCCCACAGCCAATGGGTACGGCTACATCGAGAGCCTGCTGTCGGAGCTGGTCTCGGAGCACCTGGTGGACACGCCGCCGGCGCCGCAGTTCCCAGGCTTCACGTGGGACGAGTACAGCGCCGGCAAGGTGCTGCCGCCCTCGTCAGCCGCGCCGCCGCCCTCCGGCGCTGCGCTGGTGGGGTCCGGCCTGTCGGGGCTGGAGCCGGGGCTGGGGCCGGGGCTGGGGCCGGGGCTGGAGCCGGGGCTGGAGCCGGGGCTGGAGCCGGCGCCGGGGCGGCGGGTCGGGCGACCGCGTCCAGGCCCGCCCCGGCGCTCGGGGCGGCCCTACTCCCGGCCCCGGCCGCCGAGCCCGCCGCCCGGCGCGCCGCGCTCGCCCGGCCGAGGCAGCCTGCTGGCGAGGCTGGAGCGGTGGGCGCGCGGCCGGGGCCGGCTCGTCCACCGGCCGGCCAACGCTACGGCTGCGGCGCCCGACTGTGAGTGCAGCGTGCGCCACCTGCTGGACGTGCTGGGCTACGTGCCGCTGGCCGTGCTGCTCGGCTACTCCACCACGCTCTCGACGACGGCGCTTGTGTCGGGCGGCGCCGGCGGCACGGCCATTGACGTGACCATCAACGACGCCGACACCATCAGCAACAGCAACAGCAACGCGCCCGTGCTGACCAACACGGACAGCGACACGATCGTCAACACGGCGCAGGGTAACCCGATCAACACCAACACCAACACGGCCAGCAACCAGGACAGCGACATGATCACCAACAACGGCGGCCGGGCGCTGCTCCATCAACCGCGCCTCCTCCGGCACAGGACTTACCGTAAGTCGATGTGAGGTTTCATACCCCCCCCCCCCGCATTGAAATAGTCCGAGCGCGCGCTTTAGTTCATTCCTGTAGGATGCGTGTCTGCATAGTGTTTTTCAGCGAAAGCATCTTGCCGTAAGATGTCCGACGAGGACGGCGGAACTTCTCGGTAAAGCATTCCTTGCTTTTTTGTGACCGAGCCCATCAATCACGATAACTGCTT